TATTGTATTATTGTATTATTATATTATTATATTATTGTATTATTGTATTATTGTATTATTATATTATTGTATTATTGTATTATTGTATTATTATATTATTATATTATTATATTATTATATTATTATATTATTATATTATTATATTATTATATTATTATATTATTATATTATTATATTATTATATTATTATATTATTATATTATTATATTATGATTTCATTGTTATTTCACTTACTTCTACACATCAATTATTCAACTGACTTCAACGACCCTTCAATTCGAATAACTTCAACCGAATTTCAGTCGAATTTCAACAATTCGAATATAATGACGAAAAGAACCTTGGAAACAATAAAATACTCGTCATTCTATCATATAAAGCAAATAGCTCAAAGCAAGATAACGTTCAAATGTGGTTGCACTTGAATCCCTCTCCAATTCGTTCTAACATCTAATTAAGTTTCAATCGTATGTCCCCTGTTCTCGCGTGTTCCCTCAGTCCCATTCCCGATACCCTGCTTTCCCCCGTTTCCCGTTTTATTTAATGACGCGCCACTTTACGAGCGCCGCGCCGTCAAAGTTGTCTCTCGTTAGATTCGCCGGGCGAAGGGGGGCGTCATAGGGATCGGATAAAGCGAGCGTCGCCCTCGGGATCGTTCGCATTTAATCCTGCACGACACGGGAGCGTGTCGCGGCGTGTAATTTCAATGAAAGAAAAAGAGGAGGAAGAAAAAACGAAGAGGGAGGGACGGATGGGGGAAGGAAAATAAATTGTGAAAGACACTCGCTGGAAATTGTAAGGTGATGGCGTTTTCTGCTAGTTAAACGCCGTTCCACGACTACCGGAAAAAGTGGATTTAACAGGGAAAAAATTTCTGGGATTAGGAGACGCTGCAGCGTCTTCGGATGCTGACTGCGTTCGAATGCCTTCGAGTGCACGCGTTTCCGCAGATCCGTGCCCGAAGATGTATGCAACGGGGAAGGATATTGCTGCTGGAAAGAAAGCGAGCCATTTTTATCGCTGTCCGGCGTTGTTCAAATGGAAAAAAGTGGAAGAATTAATAGCGTTTACTCGAATAACTTTTTAATTCCATTGTTAACATTAATCACAAGATAGACGTTAAAACTGAAGAATATAATCCTTTGTATTTTAGTAACTAATCGATTTCTTTATTCGTTGATGAACTTCATGTTTCTACGAATTTCAGAATCTCTCTTTCATTTAGTGATCAGATCACCCGACTTTAATACGCGTATTGTAATTATTATATGGAGATGATAGATCTTTCTAAATCTTGAAGGAGTCAGCATCGATTTCTATATACCTCTTTTCGACGAAGGAAAACGAAATGAAAAATAAAAAGAGATTAAAAAAGTACTTCATTTTTGTAATTAATTAACGTCGAACGACCGGTCAGAGGGAAGTTCGCTTTCTTGCCAATGTGACCCTAAAGTAACTATCGAATTAACGTTTTAGCGTGGGCGGGCGCGTTGAGTGCTGCGGTTTCCCGTGGTTCAGCGCCGCTGGTCGTCTGTGCGTGTCGCCGAGGAAATACAAGGGTTACGGCGGTGATTGGCGGTCTCGTGCTGGCATTGGCCTCGCTCGTCACCTCGTTCACTGTCGAACTGCACCAAGTGCTCCTCAGGTGAGTAAGAAGTACCCCGATCGCACTGACCACCCGCCGTCCCGGATTAACCCTATCACTGGCCAATTAAGACTAGGTTTACGGAAAACCATGATTTGTCATTCATTGATAGATCATTACGTGAAAGCGTCGATTTCACGCATATTGTATTTTATAAACATTACTCGGCAAACGTCTTTGTCGGTTTCGATTAATAGTCTATGGGTCTATAGTCTAATAATAATAGACTAATTATGGTATAATATATTAATAATTTATAATCTAATGATCTAATAATAAGAGACTAATTATAGCCTAATGTAATAACAGTCTGATAGTTTATTATTAAATTCCTAATTTCCACGGTGCAAACGAATCGGCATCAATTTTTCTAGAAACAATAGAATAAATCGTAAAATAAGTGTTCGTAAACCTAGTGTTGATGGAATGTTAATTGGATGACCTACTAATTTTCTATATTTCGTGATTGTCACCGCTGAGATTGGTGGCGACAAGTTCAATTCACCTGTGACAGTTATAAAATTACACACTCATTTTATTTTATTTGTAACAGTTATAACATTTCATTCATATTATTATTATTACAAGACCTCTGCAAGTCGATGTCGAAAAAGAATTTTACGAGATTCTTGTCAGTGTATTCGCAACTTAAGGAAAAAGAACAGTTACCCTGAAATAGAACACTTGGTAGGTGAAATTGAACACGATCGATCCTCTGTGATGGCCTTAACGGCGAGTCCCGAGGAACTAGTAATGGAGAAACACGTGCTACGCGGATAAACACAGCGAGCAGACGGTTTCATTTGTTTGCGAATTGCATAATACAGACGGTTTGGGTTTCATTCACGACAAGTGACTGTGTTTCTCCTCTCTGTCTCCTTTTCTCTATTTATTTAGTAAGGAAGCTTCTTTTTAATATCCTTCGTGACGTAAGGAGACCACCAGCCGGAGGACATAGTAGAGAAGGTTCTTTTCTTTCAAGACAAATTCTTGGAAAATTCCCTCCTTCGTGTATAATAATATAAATGTTGTAATACTGATAAAAATTCGATAGAGGTAAAGGATGGTTCTTTTGAGATTTATTTTCTATGCGAGAAAATGCTCTTATGCAAAATCTTTGAAACTATAGGACTTACGGAAAAATTAGATCTACAAAGTAGAAAAGAAGATTTATAAATGAACTATAAGGAAAGCTTATAAAATATAAACCTTATGAGCGTAATAGTACAATAGAATCTTTTTTTAAATTTGCCTACAAAAATTTAGCAAAAATGTTCGGAGTCTAATAATAATTAGCGAGAGGTACTCAAGTCAATAGGTTGAAAAATAATTGAATTCTGTTATCTTTCACCTAGCTTTGCTGGAAGTCAAACACACAACGAAAAAAATCACTAAAAGATAGATTCTACCACACATATTTACCTTCAACTCATTGTCAGTAAAAGCGCACAGAACCGTCCCATGATGAATAATTAATGCAGTTATCTCTGATTCCACGAGAAACGGTACCAAACATGTATTCCCAAAACGCCTCGTTCGTTCAAAGTTCACGTTTTATCCGTTCCCACGCGTGTCCCATTCCACATCCTGCCAAAAGGCTTTTATCCCAACGAAGAATCAAACTGTTACCGGGTTAATCCATGAAATTACAACTTGTACCGTAAAAATCGGACCTGAAATCTCGAATCTTGGAAGCTGTAGCCGCGAATTAAGCCTTAAAAGAATGAGATCTTAGGGTTCTAGCCTTGAGTAGTAAAAGATGAAATTGTCAATACTTGATACTTCGAGTGTAAAGGCTTGACTGTTGAAGACTCTTAAGGTTCAGATTGAACCTTCAAATTTTCAAGTCTGAGCCCTGAAACCTTGAAGACTCAATCTTTATGGAACTCTAAGCTTTCAAGACTCAGCCTTTAAAGTTGAGCTTGGAAGTTTCAAAGACTTGAACTACATAGAATTCTAACTCTTCAAGACTCAGCTTTAAGGTTGAGTTGTGAAGTTGGAAAGACTTTGCCTTCAAGGTTCAGTCTTGAACCTTTCAAGACTCGAGCTTTATAAAACTTTAAGCCTTCGAAGTTGATCCTTGAAGCTTTGAGCACTCGAGGCCCGTACAACGCCATTCGCAACCAAAAGACGACTCACCGTTGCAAATTGTAACAGCTACGGTCTGGTGTTGGGCACTGGTGCCGGCCTCGTAAGGGAGACAGCCGGCGTGGTGCTGGGCCATTACTTCAGGAAACGACGAGAGTTCGTCGAGATGGTGGTGCAGGCTGGCGCTGGCGTCGGGATAGTGCTCTTCAGCGTCTTCTACAGAGAGGCGGTCGGGTAAGTTATTACATGTATTTCCTGGCTGGCGACGATGCGAACAATAGGCGTCATCGGCGACGGAATGACGAGAGGGTGTCTGTTGCTTACGGCCGGCTAGAGACCGTCTCAAGATTACTGGAACCACTCGCGTCTCCCTCGACGCGCGTTTGATTGACCGTCTGCGGAGAGTGACTCTCGCTCGAGTTTAACTGGTTTCCTGGTTCTTGATGCTGGAAACGGAAAGGACATTTTGCGACTTTGTTTGCTAGTTAGTTTAAGCTTTGGTATCGTTACGGGTAGTTTAATGGCCTTTGCAGCAAATCAATTTTTAGTGATACAATGAACAATATAATTACATTATATGTAAATAGTGAAACAATGAATAGAGAAATTATGCACAAATAGTGAAAGTATAAATAGAAAAATTATACAGAAATAGTGGGACAATAAGTGATAAGCAGAACAAATGCCTTTATTCTTGTAAATAAATTTCTTTTATATACCGAGGCTTTCAACTGTGGCTTAAAAATGAATGAAATAAAAATTTAAGCAATTATTCGTTTTTGTTTTACATTATTAGTAATTATGAACACTAGATTTTTGGACATTTTTGTTTGGTTTACTCTATTGCTCCTAGAAAAATTCATATTCGTTTATTCGTATGTTGCAAGCTAGAAATTTAAAAATAGACAACTGAGATACATACTGAACTAATTGCATGACTCAAAGTTGACGTTAACATTTAGTAAATAGTGGTTGCAAAATTTAATATGCGTCAGACTGACGCGTACCATAAACCTAGTGTTACTGAGAGTTGTTTCAAGAATTAATATTAAAAATGATAAGATTTTGACAAAATAAAACATTTAAGATTTAGCGAGTTCATTAATTTTCTTCTTACCTTCTTTTTCTTTCTTCAAACCTCTTTAAATGATCGAAAGATAAGAAGACAATGTTCCGAGTCTTCTAAGAGAAATGCATCTGCATTACACAAAAGAAATAAAAGAGAATAAGGTTAGCTTTATCGAAAATGTAGTTCACTGATTGGAAATTCAATTATCCTGTAAAACATCGATTCTCCGGCACGGAGTATTTTATCCTGCCACTTTGATTATTCGCATGGTGCCCCGGCAACTGAAAGAACCGCTTAAGAGGGGAAATCAATTTCCATGTAACGGGACCATTCTCTCGCAAAGATAGCCATTACCATGTGACACTTCAAAGGGAAACGCAGTTTCTAACTGAAATCGAGTAGCAATCTGACGACGATATCGATGTCTCCATACCTGTTCCCTTTGTCGAGAGAACGGTTTTTTTTCGCTTGAAGGAAAATCGATTTGTTATTCAAACAAAGGACAAAAAAAACGGTGGATCGTTGCCGGGATGAAAGATCAAAGAATTTGATTGGATCACAGATTCGTCTAACAAGTATCGGCAAACGATGGTAAACTGGTGCTCGGGAAATCTTCGAGTTACAAACGAAATTAATTTTTTACACGTCGTTAGCAATTGGTCCTTATGAACTTCAGAAATTCTTTCGGAATCTTTATCCTGCGTGAATCGAAAAATATTCATTTATCGCCACTTTACAGATTTCGTTGGAATTTTCAATTTTTACACGATTTGGAAAATTTCATTTGCATTGATTATGGGAGTTTTATGTAATTCTTGATTTCGACGAAAATTGGAATATGTAATGTTTGTTTCGAATTCGAAGTTGTTCCAATGTTTGCTTTAAACATCGAATGCAATGGAAAAATATGAAATACATTATTGTATAACCTGTAAGGGAATAAAAAAAAGGGAGTAAAAAAATGTTGTTTCTCACAGGGAAAATACAAATATTATTCAGTTCACTCGCGTCTAATTTAAACTTCATTTATTTCTGTTTAAATACAATGTGGAAAATTTACGATTGTTATATGTACGTGTTTCTCTGTGTCCTTTGTTATTACTAAGGTTTATTCATCAATGTTTATCTTAGTTTTCAATTGTTGGAAACATTGAAATGTACAGGGTGAAACCAAACAGAGAATAAGTTTAAAGGACACCCTGTAGAATGACTTTCCGCCGCAAAGGAAATGGAAGTCTTCATTCCGGAAACCTAGAAAATCCTCAAACACGGATTCCTTTCTACATCGCTCGTAATTGCGTTAATGGATTGATCACGTTCGTCGACTAGATATTATCGTCGATGACGAGGGAAGGATGCGGTGCTTCCTTTAATTAAATGAGCCGTCTTGAATCGGATCGAGACATCACAATTGCATCCTAGGGAATATATAGATATTCTACAATAAAAGAAAAATATCTTACAACAGAGAAATAATGATTAATTTACAATTTTCCTTGGCATTATCAATTAAATCTCTAAAATAATCTTCATACTAGACAGTTATCTTTGTGGAGAAAATAATTTGTAATTACTTCTGTTATAATCAAAAAATGATTACATCCTTAAAAGACTTTCAATTTCGATGTATCATTCACAGTAGTAAAACGACATTTCATATATCTAATTAATGATATTTATGAAATTGGTAAGTGCAATATCAGAATTACTACAAAATATTATATTCGAACTATTAATTATTATTTAGATTAAATATTATTTAATTTATTAAGTATTCAAAGAATTATTCAGCAAAAACCTAATTAAATTTTCTTTTTATCTTTGCGTGTGTATAAATTTGTCTAAAATATTCCTTTTGTAATAAAGACAGAATTATTACCACTATATATTGTTAATCAATTTTCCACTATGGTTTCTAAGCGAATCAAAATACAACGCAGCTCTTGGAATGAATCGCTTTAGTGGCAACACGTCTTGTTTGTTAGATACTAGACATGATTCAAGCTATTTAACGTGGTACTGATGTTTCTCCGGACACCTAGACAGGTGATCCACCGTTTGCCGCGGATCTACTGCATTGCAGGTGCAATATACGGAGTACTGTACTCCTTCGAGAGAAAACGTTCGATGTACAGAAACTTTAGCTGGTCTTGAGGGGATATTTTCAGCGGAATTTTTCCTGGGAGTAGTCGTTACACGTTGCCGCATCCAAAACAGCATTGATTAAAATTTATCTCTCACATGTGTGGGAAAGAGAAGTTGAATGCAAATGCAGAATGAATAACTCACATTTTCTACTTATTGTAAAAAATTCTAGACAGTTTCCTTGCTTTTTATTTCTAATTTATTATTCTCTTCCTGTGCATACTATTTTTTTTTGTAAGTAATAGAAAAATGTGTAAGGAATATAAGTACAAATAAAATGTAAAGGAAGATCAATGAATAATTAAAATACACAAGAACAGAATTAACGAAGTGTTAAACAAGAAACAATGGAACAATGAAGTGTAACAAAAAGTATGAACAAAATTGCAACAATGAACACTGAAAAAATAAGAAACCCAAGAAAAATGTGAATAACATTTTGCAACGAAAAATGAGAAAAGAAAATATGAATGAAAAGTACGGATTTTTCTTGCGTGTTGACATAAAAGGAAAATATGAATAGAAAATATGCATAAAACGTAAACAAAGAAAGATAAACACTAAACGTACTGGCAGTTTATATATTCCTACCGTACCACTCAAATAACTGGTTATAAAATAAACAAGTAAACACAAGGGTAAACAAGTCATAGGATAAATTTTGATTAGCTGAGACGGAAATAAGAGGAATCACAAAAATTGGAAAACTTATTGGAAAGTTGATATAAAGTGAAATAAACAGAAGAGAATGCAGAATATTGAATAAAATTTTAAAACCAATCATTTGACCGGTTCGAAGTACGATTTGTGTTAAAGAACGAAGTATACAAAAGTATACACCACATACAACTAACGGACAATAAAGGAAGAGAGCCTATAAAATACAAATGAAATGTAAATAATGAATAATCAAGAAACAACGAAATGTACCGAAGCGTAAGTGGATTAAAAACGGGGAACGATGAAGCAACGCATCAAAATCAAGTGGTGCGTCGAATTGTTTCTATTTTTTTTTTCTCGTCAGTGCAACAATGACGACACCGTATCTGCCGCGAAATAGAATTCGCTCCTAACGAACCAATTTCATTTTCCAGTGTCCCGTAAATATTCTAACAACGGTGCGGTTCGGGTTCGCCTAATTACCAGCGAGCCGCGTTACAATTCCATTCCCCTCTAATTCCCTGATACCGAACGACGCGGACGCTGACTCCGCGCGCAACGCGACGCCTAACGATCGAGTCGCGGTGCCCGTGAATTTTTCGGATACACGCGACGAACTGATAGAATTCTAACGAGAGTATCGTTGTTTGAAATGTTGACGGATATGATTGCAACATCTTTGGTGATACAGAAATTTATTAATTGATTGTGTTGTTTGTATAAAACCGATAATTAAATATATTGATTGAGGGATACTGATATAGTAGATAGATAAATGGATAAATAAATAGATGGACAAATAGATGGATAAATAGATAAAGAAGTTGACATATAAATAGGTAGATGAATGATTTGATAGATAGGTAGATAAATATTTAGATAAACAGATGGATGAATGGATAAATAAATAGATCTAGATAAATAAATAAATATTTCAAAAGCTAATTAACAAGATGTAGATTATAACCTTACATTTTTGCGAACATCAGAAAGAGAAGGTTCAAGGCAAACTTCAAAGCATGTCAAGTTAACAAGGTTAACAGAAAGTAACAGTCGAAGATGCAACTCCTCCATTTTCGTGTTCACTGACAAAAGTTTTTAAAAATTACTCGTGACGGTCAACGTGTTAATCCTGAAACCGACTTTCACGATTCCGATGTTTTAAGCGGCAACGGTAATTAATATACTTCCCCAGGAAATGAAATTAGCGAGTCGCTGCGCAGGTAGAACGAGGTCGCGTGAATGTAATGCGGACCGCGTTCTTCGCTAAATAGAATAGGACGGTGTGTTGTCGGACGTGATATCCGTGCGAAAAGTAGAATGGAGCTGTGCGCTGTCAGCCAGTGAAGGCATTACGTCT